ATTCTTTTTTAATATCTCGGTGTCTGAAGAATATAGAAAAGTGTTTAAGGGAAGATCTAGAACAAATTCTTGCTCAATGTTGACCCAGGATGTTGTTGGGCAAAAATAATGGGTGGCTGATGTTAGTTTGGCAGCCGTATAATACTGTCTGAGGCGGGGGACTTGGAGACTTCTTTCATAGGGTAGGTAAAGTAGCTTTAGGTGGAGCCTTGCCTTCCTATTACTCCAAATAAATTGGTTAAATAGTTTGTTTAAACTGTCAGAAAATGATTTGGAAGTGTTTGGAAATAATATAAACATTTTGGTTAGATTTAACCATCAGTTTAGCGTTTCTGTGACTTCTTCTACAAGGGGGTCATAATTAATTGATGTCCTTGAGGTTTGGGGTGATCCTGATGCCTGAAGTATTTAAAGCCTACCGTAGTTGTTTTAAACAGGTTGGCCACAACAGGCCTTCTTCTTTCTTCCTCATTAAGAAACATTAATTTTGATTTAGAGATTAGGGATGCTATCTTTCAAATTAGTCATAAGAATATTATATCATCTGCAAATAAATAAATTAGGTCTCTTCCTCCAATTCTAATACCTGATATTCCTGTATTTGCTCTCACAGCTTTTTGGACAAATTCTGGTTGCACAGAAGTCCAACAACAAAACACCAATCAGGTTCAGATCTGCGAGGCCGTTCCTCCCAGTCACTCCTCACTGTTGTTGAAGTCTCCCAGTAGGACAACAGAGTCCCCAGGTGGAGCATCCTCAAGCACCCTGCCCAGGGACTCCAAGAAGGCTGGGTACTCTGAACCGCCATTCGGCACATAAGTGCAGAGGACAGTCAAGCCCCATATCCCGACCTGAAGGTGCAGGGAACAAAACCTCAAAATACCAATTTTACTCCAAGAGCACATCGAAAACGTGTGATGGTCTGGAGCTGTTCTAATGCCTCGTGACCTGGAAGACTTCCTCTGGTAAATTCAAGCCTGGATTCTGCTGTCTACCAAAACATCCTGAAGGAGATTTTCCAGCCATCTATTCGTGATCTTAAGCTGAAGCTCACTTTCTGCATCAGGACAAGATGCTGTGGCATGGCCACAGCTTCTCAGCAGTTCATGTTCAAAAACCCTCCAAGGTGGTTGAATTACAACAAATCTACAAAGATGTACCAAAATTTCTCCACAGCTGTAAAAGACCCAGTGCCAGTTATTGCACATGATTGCAGCTGTTGCTGCTAAGGGTGGTCCAAAAAGTTATTAGATTTAGGGACAATCACTTTTTCACACAGGGCCATATAATTTTGGATTTTTTTCCCCCTTAATAATAAATACCTTCATTTAGAAACGGCATTTTGTGTTTACTTGCGTTATCTTTATGTAATATTTACATTTTTATAATTATCAGAAACATTTAAGTGTGACAAACATACAGAAAAACAGAAAGGTGGCAAACATTTTTTCACACTATGGTATTTTTGGATGGGGAATGTCGCTGCATAGCCACTTTCAGATTTAGAGAAATTAAATCAGGTTGTTTGTTTTGTCAGGTTGTTTTGCAGGATGTTTAACAATATGAAAAACATAAATCATAATGACAACAGAAAACAATCAAAATCACACAAGTTGACACACACAAGTTGACACACACAGGTTTAAATGACTACTAAAGGTAGCTATCCTCCCCTGTGATCTGTTTGCTTGTAATAAGTGTATGTCTATAAAACGTTAGTGAGTTTCTGGGCTTGGGGGCATGGTGAAAGCAAAAAAATTATTAAAGGATCTCCAGGAGAAGATAGATGAACTTTACAAAACAGGAAAAGGATATAAAAAGATATCCAGGAATTTGAGACTGCCAATCAGCAGTATCTAAACTCTGATTGAGAAGTGCATGTATCTAGCGTAGTGGGCATAATAACAGCAGAAAGCGCACACATACTTGCTCATATAAGTTACTATTGAAACACATAATCAGGCAACAACAAGAACCACTCTCATTTACATATTGCACCCTTGTGGAACCTCTCGCTACACTTTTTTTCCTGAGTGATGTATGTCTTTTATTCTCATTCATTTAAGCATCACACACAGTGAGCAACATTAGCTACACATTAGCTATGGGCACACTAAGGTTTGTCACATGGAATCTGTTGGAGCCAGAGGTTAAGGATAAGAGGTTAAATATATTTTAAAAAACAAACAAAACAAAACAAAAAACTACAGGCAGACCTGTCACAGCTACAGATGAATTTAAAACACTTGTGTTTCCTAATGTGTTCTCAGCCTGCTATATCTTTAGGGGAATAGTAATTTTAATACATAAAAGTGTTAATTTATCGAATTTCCCAGAGGAACCCACCCGAGGGATTAAGTTCTATCTTATCTTATTTCACAGTACTCAACAGAGTTATAGATCCAGAGAGAAAATTTCTAATCATGAAATTATCTATACAAAGATATGTATTGTAAGTGTATAGGGCCCAAATGTTGACGATATCTTGGTCTTCCACGCTTTTTTTTTACTGTAGACTCTGAATATCTAGGTTGCTCTCTTGTTCTTGAGGGAGACCTCAACTTTAGACTAAATTAAGAAATGGACAATCTTAATGCAATAATCCAGGTACAATGGCTCGCAAAAGTATTCGGCTCCTTGAACTTTTCCACATTTTGTCACATTACAGCCACAAACATGAATAAATTTTATTGGAATTCCACGTGAAAGACCAACACAAAGTGGTGTACACGTGAGAAGTGGAACAAAAATCATACATGATTCCAAACATTTTTTACAACTAAATAACTGCAAAGTGGGGTGTGCGTAATTATTCAGCCCCCTTTGGTCTGAGTGCAGTCAGTTGCACATAGACATTGCCTGATGAGTGCTAATGACTAAATAGAGTGCACCTGTGTGTGATCTAATGTCAGTACAAATACAGCTGCTCTGTGACGGCCTCAGAGGTTGTTTAAGAGAATATTGGGAGCAACAACACCATGACGTCCAAAGAACACAGCAGACAGGTCAGGGATAAAGTTATTGAGGAATTTAAAGCAGGCTTAGGCTACAAAAAGATTTCCCAAACACTGTTCAAGCGATCATTCAGAAGGAGAAGGAGTATGGCACAACTGTAAACCTACCAAGACAAGGCCGTCCACCTAAACTCACAGGCCGAACAAGGAGAGCGCTGATCAGAAATGCAGCCAAGAGGCCCATGGTGACTCTGGACGAGCTGCAGAGTTTTACAGCTCAGGTGGGGGAATCTGTCCATAGGACAACTATTAGTCGTGCACTGCACAACGTTGGCCTTTATGGAAGAGTGGCAAGAAGAAAGCCATTGTTAACAGAAAACCATAAGAAGTCCCGTTTGCAGTTTGCCACAAGCCATGTGGGGGACACAGCAAACATGTGGAAGAAGGTGCTCTGGTCAGATGAGACCAACATGGAACTTTTTGGCCCAAATGCAAAACGCTATGTGTGGCGGAAAACTAATACTTCACTCTGAACACACCATCCCAACTGTCAAATATGGTGGTGGAAGCATCATGCTCTGGGATTGCAAAAAGGGTGTAACTATTGCAGTGTGTTAGATGGAGGAGTTGTACAAGGAGATGGCCACGCGCAGGAATGATTTACTGAACGACACAGGAAATCATTCCTGCCTGTGGCCATCTCCCTGTACAACTCCTCCATCTAACACACTGCAATAGTTACACCCTTTTTGCACACGCTCTACAGTAAAATAGCAATTGACAAAGTTCACAGGTTAGAGTGTGGCAGAGTAATGCCAATCATATATATTCCACCCCTGTAATATTCTTACCTCTGTAATATTCTTGATATGTATAATTGAGTGATTTGTATATATTAGCACTATTTCTTAAATCTGTAAACTCGGTAACATATTGTATTATTTAAATAGTTTGGTCTGTTACTGTTACTGTCTTGAAGCAACTGTAGCCCACATAATTTACTTAAGGATTAATAAAGTATTCTGATACTGATTCTGAAATGAGTAAAATACTTTACTAACTCATATTTTATTACTTAATTCGTTAGTAAAATACAAAATCCTTTATTTTTATACATTTGACTTTTCTGGTCCTTCATTCATGTCACATTTTTGTTTTTTCATGAGAATTTCCTGCAAACCTTTTTTAATTTTGTTGTTCGTAGGAGCAGTGTGTAGAATTTTGAGGTCAAAAATGTTTGCAATCCAGATGGATTACAGTTTTAATATTGCAAAATGTGGAACAAGTGAATACTTTGTGTATGTACTGTAAGTGGTGGAGTTGAAGAACTATGTATTACACATCCTTTACTTTAATTTAACCTTTGCAAAATAAAACTGTCAGGCTACTAGTGTCTTTCTCCCTCTGTGACTTTACCTACCCTCTATATTGGTACACGTAGTGTTTGACACCTGGTGTTCAATGTTAATTTTTATCAGGCGGAAGTGAAAATGGTAAATGGCCTGCATTTGTATAGCGCTTTTCTAGTCCATAGGACCCCAAAGCGCTTTACACTACATTCAGTCATTCACCCATTCACACACACATTCACACACTGGCGATAGCAAGCTATATTGTAGCCACAGCTGCCCTGGGGCGCACCAGGGTCGTGAAATGTGTTGCAGGTAAGACAGGGGAGAGAAAGATTTAAATCTGATGCACTTTAGCTAGTTAGGAAACTGTGTTTTTAATTTCAGAAAAGACATCTACATAGCACCACTAGATCATCACTGTCAAGATTTGATTTTACAGAAAGCTGCTATTGAGCACATTTTTTAAGTAAATTTAAAAAAAAAAGAATCAAGCCATATGAACAAGACTGTTCAAAGCCATATGCATGAATAGAATAGAAGTTAAAAAACAAAAAAACCCCATGATGTCATACATTCTGAACTGAGGGATTAGAGCATGACCTCCCAAACACACATTCAGAGCAGCTCAAACATAGCAGCAGTGGTGTGTTGTGTGTGGTTATAAAAAGGGTGACATTGTGCGGACTGTAACTGGACTCCTGCAGGCTGCAGGATGAGATGCTCACCACAAACACAACTATTCTTAGATATTTTGTTGGTGTTGTACAGACAGCCATCTGTTTTTCCATCAAGACGACAATATGTGGAGGGTCAAACGTGAGTGTCCCATCATTTTCACTGCATGGTTCTTTTTTTTCCATTCACTGTAATAAAGATTTTTGCTATACACTGCATGACTAACATCTTTTATGTTACTTAAACTGAGAAGATGATCTAACTGATAATGTAACCAGTGGTATTAACAGGTTAAAGTCAGAATAACATCAAAAGCTAATATGTTTCCTATCAAGTATAGTTACAAGCCTGATACAAACATTAATCAGTATGTAGAGTGCATTGATTTAGTAGTAAAGAACGCTAGCATTTTAAGTAGAAAATCATCAAGTTTTCACCACTGGATTATTGGTTAACTGAAGTCCTTTCTGATCTTGTCTCTGGACCAATATTTTCATACTTATATGAAGATTTTTAAGACTGACTGTGTTTCTGTCTTCAGTACTGTTAATCTGTTTGATTAAAATTTTGATCTCTTACCTTTTTGACTTCTGCTCAGCTCCAGTTACATTTCCTAAGGAGGTGAAATACCGGCCAATTTTAGAGGTAATTATATCAATGAAAGAATAAGAATAAGCAGTGTGATACAGTGTAATTCAATAAAAAGAAATTGTGTCATCTACAGCTGAAGTCAAACATAGCAACAGAGTATATCAGAAGGTAATTATGGATTAGATATTCTTGATCACTGATCATTTTGCAGACGTGAACTAACAACAGACACTCAGCAGCCTCACTGTTTTTACAAAGTGGGACAGTTCTTAGCAGTTTTCCTGACTGATTTTAAATGCTGTCAAAATCTACTCTCGTAACATGAATGCAGTGTAAGATCATAGCAAAAGGTTTATTTGTTTATTTTTTCGTAACTTTTGGTAGCTAAAGAAAAAAGGATGAAAATTTTCATTTAAAAAAAGTAACAGAAAGATGACAACATTACATTTGTCATTCAGCATTGTGGCTGTGTTATTCTGTCAACCCTATAATGCACTTAAACACATATTTGATACATGAGTTTCTGAGACCTCTATCTCATCGACATGATCAATACATGCCATAATTTCAAAATGTTATGGGTAAAATTCTTTTTTTTCTAAAATTGACATTGTTAACAAAAAGTTGCCAAAAACGCCCAACGTATCAAATGTAATACAAAAAATATACAATAAATATATTATAAAAATATAGCATATACAACATGATGTAGCCAGAAAATGTTTGTGGATTTTGTTATAAGGGTTAATAAACATCCCATTTTTAATTCATATATTAGGAGACCTGGATGTAAAATGTGATGTATTGTTCTGTGAACAGCAGTGACCTCTGGGTTATTAATATAATAGTTGGTCACTTTACTCTCTCTTCTGTGTTTGTCCTTTCTCTTAAGAATTTGATTCCCCCTGACCCCATGGCCCGATTTCACCTGAAGAGAGGTTTCCCTCAGGAGGAGTTTCCTGACTTGTGCAGGAACTTTACCTGGATGGGTCGAATCCTCACACTGGATCTGTACCGCCGACAGTTTAACCGCTGCACCCAGAGTGGAGTAATCTTTGATGACGTCATTCGTCCCGGCCTGGAGGAACCAGGTGATGTATTTTTTGTTGTTGTTTTTTTTAGTTATTTTGTATGTGTGAGATTTTTCTTTGCATTATAATGTTGATTTAAGTTCAAGTTTTACACAGTTTACTGTTGCATTTGGTTCTTTTTATGTGTTTGAGTTTATTTGCTTGAATGGTTCATGGTTTCTTGTTGGTCAGGTTCCTTTTGAGTCTTTGTCTCATCCCTGTGTCTCCTGTGTGTCTGTCGTGTCCTTTGTGTTTATCTGGTTCCTCACTCTTGTCTCTGTTTATTCTCCCTGTGTGTCTCACTCTCTCTCTTTGTGTCTTAGTCATGTCTTTTTGTTTTGTCCTTGTCTCCCATTGTCTTCCCTCCATGTCCCATGTCCCATGTTCCAGGTTTCAGGTTTTTCATGTTTCTTATTTTTCTTGCTTCAAGCAAGTCATAGTTCTTAGTGTCTAGTTTTGCCGAGTTTAGTTAGTATGTCTTAGTCTCCTCTAGCCTTTTGTTTTTGTATTTCCGTGCACAAGAAACGGCTCGCTTTTTGTTAAATTTCAGTTTTGTATCTGAGTGTCCACTTTTGGGTCCATACCACAAACACATGATCTGAGTCTGCAAATCTTTACAGAGAGGCCAAAACACAGAATTACAGCAACATGAAAATTAGTGAACAATTGGTAACTAATTTGATAGTATTTACATATATAAAAGAATTTGAGATTTGCATGAAAAAAAATCATAATTATCGTTGTTTCGTTGTTGGTCTAACATATAATATAATATAAAGTTAGCACAAAAACTAAGGAAATTTGTTTGGTCAGTTATTTCTTTGTTCTAATTATGGTTTCTGGAAATAAATCTTTTATTACTGGAAAGCTTATTTCCCCTTAAATGATGCCATATTTGTAAGGAATATGTGCATTTGTGGGTTGAGAGTAGAGTTGAGTGGGTTGTCCTCATGGAAAACTTGCCAAAACTTCTCTGCCAATGCCAAACTTGCAAAGTTTATTTCAATAAATGAATTGTTTTAAATATATACAATTATTATAAAAACGTATACAATAATTATTCTATTAAATCTGTTTTGAGCTTCTGGTACTCCAAGTGCTGACAATTAGGATTAAGCAGTACCTGCTATAGCAGTTAGTTGATGTCTGCTCCAAGCATGCCACGTTTGACTGATCTGGACAGGGCCCATGCCACAGGGCAACTTTAATCTGGTGTTCGATAAAACAAAGGTGCAGTATCATTTGGATGAGTCCTAGTATCATATTCAGAGTGGCATCTAAGTCCCATATAATATGGAATGTGAGATAGGCCACAAAGAAGACATCACCACAAGAAGATCATTTCCTCACCCTGTCAGCACTTAGGCAATCTTTTACAAATTTGCAATCCAGAAATGAATGTTTGCATTACCCAGGCAATTCAGAGCAAAGTGCACACCGCCAGTCTTCAGTCTCCTTGGGCTGCCAGGAGGCCTGTAATGACTGCCCTTCACAGTCAGGCCTGTTTGCACTGGTCTCTATAACATGTTCAATGGAATCTGAACATGTGGAGGAATGTTACATTCAGCAACAAGTCCAGATTTTTGCCTACAGCAACTGGATCATGGATCAAAGTGTGAGAAGAAGCACAACATTATTACTATTAACTGCTGCTCCAACTGAGTAAAAGTGTGATGTTTCTGGTTCTTATATAGCACTTTTCTGCTCTCTGAGCACTCAAAGCGCTTTACACAACTTGTTCATTCACCCAATCACACAAGCACTTTCCTAAGTTGTTAGTGATAACATTCATTCACCTATGGATGCATCGCAGAGCAACCTGGGGTTAGTATCTTGCCCAAGGATATTTGGCATGCGAAAATCCAAGACTGGAGGAGACTAGGACCAAACTACCAACCTTCCGATTAGTAGGTGACCTGCTCTACCACCTGAGCTCCAGCCACCCTGCACTGGGAAAAAAAGGAGTGCCACATTGGAGGCAATTTCAATGCAAAGAGATACTGAGATAAGATCCTGCAAACAGTTGCAATGCTGTATCTCTACCTGTCATGATCCTGGGTTTGTAAACAGCATTTTCAGCTTTGGACTCTCAGTCTTCTAATTGATGGTAAATGGTCTGGTTCTTATACAGTGCTTTTCTACTCAAACTGAGCCCTCAAAGTGCTTTACACAAATTGCCTCATTCACACCATTCACACAAGCACTTTTTGCTTACCCTATTTAAGTGCTATCTAATATTCACACACATTCATGCTCTGATGGATGCATAAAGTTTACATACTTTAAGTTTAAACACTTTAATCTGTTTTACTTTACTTACTGTTTTACTAATTAATCTGGACATTTATTGAAAGAAACCTTAAACGAATGAAGTCCAAAGTGGTAATTCCATAAGCATCTGTGGAGAAATTTTTAGGTAAATGTTTCGATTATTCACTTGGTCCTTCTGTCACTTTTGTTCCTTTTTTTTAATGAAGGAGATTATTTAGGTCCTGTAGCTGTCGGGTGTGTTGCCGGCGATGCCGAGTCCTACATCCTGTTCTGTGATTTCTTTGACCGAGTTATTGAAGCATATCATGAACAGAAGATCACCAGCCAGACACCAGAGAGTGACTTGAACTATGACAACTTGAAGGTAGCTACTCAAAACACTGTGAATAATAAACCTGAAAATAATTGCAGCATGAATTGAAGGCTGTGTGCCCTACAATCAGCTGATTTCAGTTCGTGTTGGAGGATGAAAATATTGGAGCAGTTTATGATCAATAAAATTAAAGTAATGTTCATATGGACATTCATTTTATTGACTGATTTTTTT